AGTGGTTCTAAAAGTAAAGTGAAATATCTGATCTTTAAGAGTCTGAAGAACTATTCTTGAGAGAGATAAGGAAATACAATGAGATGCTGCTACCACCAGCAAGAGAAGACATGGGAGCTCAGCAACTGGCAGGAGGAGCTGGTAGAAGCTGGTGTCACCAACAGCTGCTGAGAATTATTAATAGGAATGACTCCATGGCATCATTTTTGTTTGTTTTTTCCTTTCTTGCCACTCAGGAGGAATGACAAGAGTTTTCTGGTTCCTATTCTAAAATCACCAATGGGATCTTAGGAGGGAAAGGGGAAGAGGAGGGAATTTATTACTTAGAATTCTTCCCAAACTAACATCTGAGTCACATTTTCTATTTTAAATTCCTCTTTACTAGGTAAGGAGGGAGATCCACAAATTTTTAGTTGAAGCCCCAGATGATTACTGAGTGTCTACAAAAGAATTCTGCCAAATTTGTTTTCCATAATAAATGTTGAATCCCTGGGTAAGGGAGGTACAAGTGATTAGACAGTAAACAGTTTTCTAACTTTAACATTTACCTGTGTGTAAGAGATCTATATGATTTCAATGCATATTTAAAGAATGTCACTTCTACATCTGTGATTCTATAATATGGATGAAAAGAAAAATCCTTAGATAGGGGAAAATGAATACAGAATTCTAGGGCAAATGGAGGTAGTAGCACAGTGCTAAAACTGTGAAAAGAAGAATGTTGCATAAAAAAATAACACCTAATATATCCAGCCCTGATTAGTCTATCAGTCTCTTCCAACATAGGGTTATCATCTTATGAGCAGAAATGATGTCTTGTCATCCATAATTTGCCCCCATATTCCTTTCAACAGTTCTCTGCACTTAGTAACTAGTAGGGATTGAATTTTGTAGATTGCAAATGATTCAAAATAATTTATTTTAGAAACAACTTTTTCCAGAAGAGTTTATCTGTACACTTATTAGTAAACAAGGGCCAAATACGCAAAGCATTACGATCATCAAAGGATACAGACCAAACAGATCATTCTATTAATTATGATAGGTAAGTCTTATCTAACAAAGTACCAAATCCCATGTGTATAAATTGTAATCTTCCCACATGAAGGCCTTTGAAAATTTTTAAAAAAATAATTAAAGGTAACATGTGTTACTACGGGTGACCTCTGGAAATTCCTAGAATTGACACTGCCCTCCATGTGACTGCCCTCCATGTGACACTATGAATCCAGTCTTAGCCTTTGCACCTGTCTTCCAAATAATCAAGTGTTGGCAATAATCTCACTACTTCTGTATACATGTTGCAGTCTCTGGATTTCTTCCTTACCAAATCTTCTCCAAGAATTAGAAGTCTTCGTTAATGCAAGATAATCTCTTCTCAATGATTTTATTTAGAGCAACTTTGACATCCTTATTTCTCAGGCTGTAGATCAGTGGAATTAGCATTGGCACAATAATGGTGTAAAACACAGACGACACTTTCCCTTGGTCCATGGAGCTGACATTTGATGGTTGCAGGTACACGAATGTTGCAGAACCATAGAAGATTGTAACAGCCAAGATGTGGGAGCTGCATGTACTGAACGCTTTGGACCTGCCCTCAGTGGAGCGGATTTGCAGGATGCTGGCAATAATGGAGACATAGGAGCCAAGGATGGTCAAGGTTGGTGCAAGAAAATTAAATATACTGAAGCACAAACTTACCACTTCATTGATATAAGTGCTGGAGCAGGAGAGCTCCAGTAGTGGAAAAGGATCACAGAAGTAATGGCTGACTATTTTATCCTTACAGAAAACCACTCTTAGTATGCAACCTGTGTGAGCTGTGTCACCAATCAAGCCCATCATATATACCTCAACTACCAACCAAGAGCAGACCTGATAAGACATGGTGACATTGTAAAGCAATGGCTTACAAATGGCAACACAGCGATCATATGCCATCAGAGCCAACATATGACATTCTGATATAATCAAAAAAGCAAAAAAGTAGAGCTGAGGCATGCATTCAGGGTAGGAGATGATGTTCTTCTCTGTCACAAAGCTCACCAGCATTTTGGGGATAATGACAGTGGAATAGCAGAGATCAATGAAGGACAAACTGCTGAGGAAATAGTAACTGGGGGTGTGCAGGTGAGAACTGAGCCTAATCAGGGTGATCATGCTCAGGTTCCCCACCACTGTGAACACATAAACTCCTAGGAAGAAAAGAAAGAGGGGCAGCTGGAGTTCTGGTGCTTCTGTTAGCCCAGCGAGGATGAACTCAGTCACTTTGGAGTGATTTCCCGCTGCCATTTTCCTCTGGACAGTTTCTAGAGGAAGAGAAGAACAAATCTGAGGTAGGTGTTTATTTATGCAGCCTGAAACCAAAGCAAGTCTTATTAGTCAGGTATCTCCAGTTCTCTCCCTGTCCCTGATCTGTGTTGGAAGTTAAAGACGCTGGATTGTGCAAATAAACAAGATAGAATTATATCTTTTTTTTCTGTTTCTGTGCAATAAAAGTAAGTCTTAGTACTGACCAGTCTCTGAAGATCTAAAGAACTGTTCTGATAATTTAGAATATTGAGTGTTCTGAGCTCCGGTGGTACAGTGGTTTAGCACTTGGTGCTAACCTTAAGGTTAGCAGTTCAAACTCACTTAGTGGCTCTGCTGGAGAAAGATCTGAAATTCTGTTTATGTAAGG